GTTAGCAACGCCAGTGACAATAAGAAGACTCGCCTTCAAGCTGAATCTATTCCCACCACAACGGCTAGTCAAATCAACAACCGTTCAACAAAGCAGCCTCTTAGATCTACCTTTCAACAAATTCAGAATCCCCTGTCTTTCCATGATGATAAGATTGGGGGAAATGGAATTATCTCTGATTCTTCTTTTAATGAACTACACAGGTTCTCTTTTAGCTGTTTATTTACTCTTAGTTTGAGCTTAAAGTCCCAGTTTATGTATGTTATATTTTTTTTTGTGTTTTGTATGGTTATAGAAGTTCGGGCTGGATGATGGAAGGTGAGTTGGTAGCAAAGGCTGATTCTGGACACCAATGGCAACATTTGATGGACTCAAACGCAGGTTACTCAGCGCATGGCTACAGGGAAGAGGCATTGAATTTTTTGGTTAGTAGAGATATGGAAAGAACTGAGCACACCGGTGAGTTCAATTTCATGACAAATCCTGAATTTGTAAAAGATACCTCTAGGGACTTGATTAACGGATGGTCCAATGATAATGTCTACAACAATAGTAACAATGAGAATTTGGAGGCTTCGTTGTGGCCATCGCTAGGGGATATCTCGTCATCATCGCTTGCTTTGTCTATTGCTATGGCTGCTGGTGATGTCCTTGATGAGGATATGGGATTGGATAGTAGATTCATGAATACTAATCAGCACAAATTCTGGGAGAACAGTTTCCCTTTTGCATCTGGAGGACCATTGGCTGAAGTTTTACATCCTAGCTCATCTTTTAGTCTCGGTGACAACCCAACCTCATCGTACACAAGCAATGGCGATTCGATCAGCCCTGCAGCAACGACCGTCTCATCACCATCTGGGGTTCTTCAGAAGACGATGTTTTCGCACTCTGATGGCAGTGTTTGCAACAGCCCAATTCTCGCAGCTCCAAGTAATAATATTACACCTGAGACTGTTCAATTCCAGTGGTTAAGATAGAATGCATGCCAGAAAGAAAGGCCCCTCCTTTTGTTTTTGTTTTTTGTGTTGTTTTTACCTTTTCTTGCTTTCTATCAACTAAAGCCAGAAAGTTTACAAAGTGACTGTCTTAAAGGTTCATTTTCAGGCAATTCTCAGTTCCCAAACAAAAGATGAAAGAACTTTTAAGCTATTACTATCCTACAATTATGTACACTTGTTTGTATGTCCTCCTGAGTGTACAGTTTTCTGCTTTGCTTGTGTTCTTGATTCTTGAAGTGTTGTGTGTGCGTCTGGACACATCAAAAATGAATTAGAATGACTTGATTTCATCACGGGTTTATCATGAAAATGAACTATGACGCACATTTGGGGTTCTTTAGTACTCTTTATCACTGTATCAGTACAGTTCAGAACACAACATTGATGAAAAACATTACTCCTCACGTTAGATAACATATACATTAAAGATGTAGCATAATTGCCCTACGATTGTTTGTTCTTTTGAGCTAGCTGGCTAGTCTTTAGGACTCTGGCCTTCTGGCTGAAAAATATCTCATTTGACTTGATAGACACAAAACTATAGCTCGCAATAGCTACTACTTTTATTGAAAAAGAATAATAACTTCTACCCCATTCTATTTAACCCTCCTCTTCTAATTTTTATTTTAACAACAGAGGGCTGGGGTGAGAGGAAGTTATGGAGTGGCATCAGAATAATATTTCACCTTTTATTTTTTTATAAAAGAAATATTATTATTTCGAATAATAATTTTATAAGTTTTAATTTTAACTAGTACTAATAAAATAAAGTTTACACACTTCATGATGAGAGTGATATAAAAGAGAGAAATCTGTTTCTCAAACTATAAAATATTCTGTTTCTCAAACTAAAAAGTAATACTTTAGGTATGAAACTCATCCTCTCAATAGTTTAGGTATAAATTTTTTTTTTTAAAAAAATGATAGTTTAAACGTGTTTTTAATACTAATCTCTTTGAAAGAATTGAAACCATTTCCCTTCGTTATAATATGTCACTCCGTCAGGGAAAAAAACATTGACGAAATCATGTACTCCTTGAGATATTGGAACCAGTTACTTATAATATTCGATCAAATTGGATTATGGACGACGATAAATTCACGCATGTAGCATACCACAATTAAAGAAATTGAATATTTCATTAAGCATGCAAGCAACCAAACACTTTTAAAAGTGTTTTGTGTGAATAGAGGGTATACTTGGAGACGATATAAGCTAGTTCGTACTCCCCCAGCTCCACTATTTGGTCATGTGATAGAGATATTCGACTATAATTTTCTAAACCTAATGTGTGGTTCTAATATAAAAAATGCAGTTTATATTATTTATTTTAAAAACTTGGGGTAGGGGATTAAAAAGTGGAAATGTATCCTCGTGACCTTATCAATAAGGTAAAAATGTTAGATAGAATTACAAAACAGTTTATACAAGTACAAATTTTGTAAGTTTATTTTTCCAATGTAAGCTAATCTATTACTAAATATGTTGAAGATTAATTACGAAACACAGTAAGAAACCTATCTTGAAAAAAAGAGGGCATGTTCTGTAGTAATAATTAAACTATACAATAATATTTGACATATGTTGAGATGGCCGAGTTGGTCTAAGGCGCCAGATTAAGGTTCTGGTCCGAAAGGGCGTGGGTTCAAATCCCACTCTCAACAAAATAAATATTTTTTTCTAATATGATCAATCACTTTTGCCAACTTTTTAACTAATTATATAAGTACTACATGATAATATTAAGCTTTGGAAATGGACGTGACGGAGAAGAATGGTTGATTAGTTCCCTTTGGTTCATCAGTCGAAGTTGATACCTTCCTTTTATTTGGATGAAGAAATGCAGTAGTGATTTAACAAATATTCTTTCAATTTTTACTTTTATTTAAATAAAAGTTTTACATAACAAATATTCTTTAGCTATAATTTTTCAACATACTTAGGATGGATAAATTAATAAAAATAAATTTTATTTTAAAGAAAATTTATTAAGAAATATGTCCAAAACTCTAAATATTGCTTTAAAATGGAAGAGTATTCGATAAAGTCGGGGTAAGAGAAACATAATTTCGAAGTTGACCATTAACATATCTTAGAAATGGTTAATTGGTTAAGTCCTAGAATATATTCACATTTTTTTTATTTTTTTAAAATATATAAATGCCCTTTTATTTGGTTTCAGTTAACATTTATGCTCTCTAATTTTTTTTTATACTATATAAGTAGATACTCAAAATTTGTCTAAATAAAACCAATAGATATGCATGTCTTACATGACATAATACATAAAATTATTATGTTGAATGTCACGTTGCACGAATGTGTCTATTTATTCATTTTTTAATCGTAGGATGTCAAATTAAAAAAACAAGTTTATGTGCTGCGAGAAAAAGAAATCTTACTTTGATTTTTAAATTCTAAAATATAAAACACTTAAACAAAAATGGAATAATGCACAAGTACTCCTCAATCTTTGTCCGAAATCTCAGAGAGATATTTATATTATACTAATGTCCTATTACCCACTTGAACTTATTTTATTAATAATTTTCTACTCCTTTTCGGCGTACGTGACATTATCTTGTGAATCGAACGCTGATTGATTTTTTTTAAAGTTAGTGTCACGTAAATAAAAAAGGATAGAAAATTATTTATAAAATAAGTTCAGGAGGTAATAGAATCTTAATATAGTATAAGTGTTTCTCTGGTATTTCGAACATAGATTGAGGGGCTATTGTGTTTTTTTTTAACTCTACTGAGAAAATAAGGGGTGAAAACATAAAAATGGTGAAATAGAGACCCCATTTTTCTAAAATTATAGAAATATACGATCTTTCGAGAAAGCTGGAGTTTAGCCTTGGCAATCACTTCACAGTTTTATCTATAACTTTCACGATTCCTCCACACTATTCTCATTTTTTCTTATAAATACCTCCTTCTGTAAGCAATTAAAATCATTCACAAACAAGAAGATTTCTACTTTCTGTGATTAAAAATCTAAATAACTATAATGGCTTACACAAGTCTTACATCTTCTCCATTAGTGTCAAATGTTAGCGTTGGTGGAACCTCTAAGATTAATAACAACAAGGTATCTGCACCTTGCTCTGTTTTCGTTCCGTCGATGAGAAGGCCGACGACTAGGCTGGTAGCTCGGGCTACCGGCGATAACAAAGATACGTCAGTCGACGTACACCACAGCAGTGCTCAAGGAGGAAACAACCAAGGCACTGCCGTCGAACGCCGTCCTACGAGGATGGCGCTTGATGTTTCCCCTTTTGGTAAGTCCTTCCCCTGTTTTTTAACAGGTACTAGTAGTTGCAGCATTTAATAAATTTGTTACAATTCGTTTAGTAACGATAATTGTTTCATGTGATGAACAGGAGTGTTAGATCCAATGTCACCGATGAGAACAATGCGGCAGATGATAGACACTATGGACAGATTATTCGAAGATACAATGACATTTCCAGGAAGAAACAGAGCATCAGGAACAGGGGAAATACGCACTCCATGGGACATTCATGATGATGAAAACGAAATCAAGATGCGTTTCGACATGCCGGGACTGTCCAAGGAAGATGTAAAAGTATCAGTAGAAAATGACATGCTTGTCATTAAAGGGGAACACAAAAAGGAAGAAGACGGAAGAGATAAACACTCATGGGGTAGGAATTATAGCTCTTACGACACTCGTTTAAGTCTCCCAGATAATGTTGTGAAGGATAAAATCAAAGCGGAACTGAAGAATGGAGTTCTTTTCATCTCGATTCCAAAGACTGAAGTGGAGAAAAAGGTGATTGATGTCCAAATTAACTAACATTCAGAATCGCCATGCTTTTGTTGTTCTAGGTTCATTTGTAACCTTGTGTAAAATGTATGTTCGCATATGAATATAAAACAAGTAGTGCATCTTTGACAAGGGGCTGCTCTGAGACTTGTTTTCTGGCAAATTACAATTTACAACCATCAAGACAAGTAAGAAATTAAATAGGCTGAATAATAAACAGCCATATAGAACAAAGGAAGAGATTACACTCCTTTTTAAGTTTGAAGTTGGAACTTGCTCAGAAGTCACCGTTAGCAGTATTGGTACTCGAGGCATTGCCTACAGAGACATAAATAGCTAGCAATACCATACCAAACTTAAATTACATCAACATAAGCAAACTCACAAACCAGCCAACAGTACAAGAGTATCAAGAAGGTGAGAGATGCCGAGTTGAGTAACGCTAATAAACCAAAAGACAAACGCCATGAGGTACACGATGGTATCTGTATCTACGTATATATTAAATATAAGATCAGATGGTGAATGCAAAGTGATATATTACTGCACCACCGAGCGGGGAGTGCGCGGCCGGACAGGAGTCTTCGATGGGCTTACTCTGCAGAATAGAAGAAGTCTCAAGATTAATGGAAATGTCAGTAAAATAGAGAAAAAAGTATCACCAGGAATCAGAGAGCAACCTTATAGGGAGTGATCCCAGGATTGCACCACTGCAGTTCAGTGCAGCAATGGCACTCTCGGCCTGCAACAATCGGAAAATTCATCATGAAACTACACTAAGAAAAAGGGAACAAACATAATAAGCGATACAATGGAGTGATTCAAAATTTTCTACTTAGAAACACATCTGCCGTCCCGGTTTTAGGTATATCAATTATTGACATCATAACATGCCAGACCAATGCAAACTAATCTCGAGTAAGAAGCAGATTGAGATAAATTCACAGCATGTCTGTTCCCTTAAAATGTAAGCAAAGGGCCTAGGAATAGATCTTCCCAAGACAACAAGGAACAAGCAAGAATGAGGTACTTAACACCAAGAAAGTTTGTCATGGCTAACCTAGAAACAAATTGCACCTAAGCTAATCACAAGGAGAAAGTGAACTGAAGTGTGGGATTCTCCTATCCAAAAATAGGAAGTGTGACACCAGAGAAATCTCCTACTCCATCCGTTCCAACTTATGTACCATAGTTGAATCAACACGATTTAAGAAACAAATTGTCTTAAATATGTTATAGCCTTTGTGTGGCTGTAAACCTTTGAAACTTAGGGATTTATACATACTGTAACATTTGTGGTAATCAAAGCTTCTCATGAAGTGTAAAATAGAAAATGTGAAGTTAATAATTTTCAAATTTAGGAGTGTCATCATTTTCAAAACTAACTAAAGTGAGTCACATCATTGGAATGAGGGAGAAGGGGGACGTATTTGACTTAAAAGACTGGCACAAATATGAATTCCATATGCGTTAAAAGCAACAGAAAACAGCTTTGCAATACAACAACGAGAACTGGATACAGATTACACCCGCAACCTAGATATTGTGGTAACGAAGTTCAAAGCGAGAACCTACACCAAAGAAACTAATAGAAACTCTTTTATAGTCCCCTATATCCACTCTCAACGAATGCCACGAATGACGAAATAGCATTGTTAGATGAAAACAACTGAGGAACAGAAAAATTATCAGATATGTCTATTGAAGATCTTTGTCAGGGAAAGCAAACTTCACGACATCTCAGGTTCTAAAGTAATACTCTACTCCCTCCCTGTCTCAATTTATATGGCACCTTTCAGATTTCGAAAGTTAATTGAGTTTTTCTTTTATCAGGAATATTTTCATATGCATACAAATATTTTGAATTGTCTATTTCAGTTAAAGATTATTCTAAAGATTTCATGACTAAATTCAGGGCCAAAATTTGATTGTTTTGACTCTCAAAATCCAACCGGTGCCTCATAATTTCGGACAGAGGGAGTAATACTTTTCTCCAGTGTGAAGATCGCTTGGATGGCAAAGCTGATCTACTTATTAGAATAATATCTCTCAGAGGAGTACCAAGCGTAAAGCACTTCCCTTCCAACTTAAGTGATCAAAAATACAGAATACACATGGTAAAGGTTGCAATGGCTCCCATCAGAGCAACAGTTCTAAATATGTATTATACCCATGATCCCCACGCAAAGCAACAGCTCAGAAGCTCGTCATTTAGAGATACAAGACTTCCCAAGATGGGCAGCAACAAGAACACCGACATTGCAATTTTATTTACCCCACATTACTGTGAATTCCGAATAATCTACTGGCATGTACTCATTAGCTACCAAATATAACACAGCCTATCGAACTAATTAAAACAACAATACAGGCCACTTATTTTTCCTGCTGTCGAGGAAAAATTCTGTAAGTGATTAATATTGTTTAGTGTCGTTGGATTTCTTCTATGAGTAGTCCAGTTTCAATTTTTAGAACAAGTATCCAGTTTATCCAAATTTGGTTATTCTGAAACCTTATATATGTTTCCCTTGATAACAAAAATATAGAAAGACATAAAGACCCCATACTGATCCTTGTTACGGAAATACGGGGTGCTTTGCTCACAGATTAGCTGTGCAGAATTAATCTGGGGTGAATATGGGGTCTTCTTGTCGGTGAGTGTTTTTGTCCCAGCAAAGACAAAAAAAACAGATGGGAAGAAATCACCTAGTTTTTTTTGTCTCTGCTGGGATATGAACCTTTGAAACCTCATAGTTCTAACCCACTTCCTTGACCACTATGCCACATCCATGGGTGCTATACTTTGTAACTAATAGCTATGCAGATTTTTATATTAGGACTGTTTTTGTGCGACTGACATGAGGAACCCTCTCCTTCCACCAATAACTCAATTTACAGCTAAATACCTCCAACTTAATACTAAACAACAATTGGGTACCATATCCTATAGTTGTCGTCCACTCTACTACTCTAACAATGAAGCAAGCATCCAATAGGCAATAACAGGCACAAACATTAGCTACACTGAGAAATAAACAAAAGCACATAATATTGACAACTAGAACGGATCTGCAAATGACAGACCTTTCTCACAATTAAGGTTTATTACCCGACAAAAAGTAACGATCACGGCTCATGTTATCTAGTTAAAAAAATTTGGATTAGTTTCTGGTGACAAAGATATCAACGTAAGCTTAGAAGTTAGATAGGCACACCAGTAAATAAGGGAGAAAAATTTTGAACCGAAATTCAGTGTATGTCAGCAATATCTCAAATTCACATGAGTGGGAAACTATTACCAAGAACTTACGTCACCTACATAAAATACAAAAAGGGATAAAACAGATCTCTTTATACTTTGAATTTGTAGAAGACCCAAACAAGTAATAACATCATAATGATGTTAAATAACAAGCATGGATGGTGAAATAACGCACTTTGATTGGAGGTTCTAGTAGTTCTTAAGAGTAGAAAGAAACCAAAGTCCACAGCAGTATGATAAATCAGACAACAAAACCAAGAAAAGCTCATGGAAGTTACCATAACAAACTCAACAAAACCTATGCGAGTAGAATGATGATAGTCACCAAGCAACCTCAAGCGCTTAACCTGGATGAAAGAATAAAACCGCATAGAGTAAGGAAGCTAAAGTAGGACAAGCACTTTCAGACAAGTCAGGTGAAAAAAAGCTACAAACCTCTCCACAGAAGTACTCAAAAAAGAGCTTGACATCTGCTTGAGTAACCTATTTCATACAAATGAACAACTCATAAAGCATTATCTCCATAGATACTTCTCATTTCTCAACCAAGTGAAACAGGAATTACAAACCCGAAATTACCTTTTTATCAATGTTGGTACAGTATATAGTTCTTGCACACATCTCCCTTTCATCTTCAGACTACATATCAGCACCAAAGATAAAGATTTCAGAATTAGCAACAGAGAGGTATCTATTCATCATCCTCAACAGCGGAAAGTACAGAAAGTATACACAATTTCTCACCCTTGGAAGAAAAGTTGGATTAACTGGTGCAATAGCAGTTTTAGAGGGAAGCACTTTCACAGGGTAGTATCCTAGCATAGTTCCTGCAAGACTCAGAGCACTCCTTGCGCCTTCTGCAAACCATACATGGGACAGTGTCAGTGTTAGACAACAACTACTTAAACCCAAAAATAAAAAATTGTCAAACAAAAGATTCTGGTTCAACATACCTTCATCAGTAAACTCAATAAATGCAAAACGGAGTACAGAATTGGGATCTCCACAGATACGACAGTCAACCACCTTCATCACATTAAGGTTAGTCAGATTATGGCAACAAAACATTTCACGAGCATATTAGAAAGTGCTATAAATTATGGTTGAATGCAGCGAAATGACTGAACGATAAACATATTCACCTGCCCGCAGGTAAGAAAGAGTGTAGCAAGTTGCTCTTCAGTCACCTACACAAAATAAGAACAATAATTCCCATGGTAAAAGATGAAAGTGACATAACCCAATAAATAATGAACAAGTACCCGGTGCCTGAGTACCCTCTTTTTAGTACCTGGTGATCAATGTCAGACACATAAACTGTCCTCCTAATAACCTCTTCACGTTGGGCCATGCTTGTCCGGACATTCATCCTTCTCCTACCAAGACCATAGCCATTTCTCTTCTGCCAGTGCATTCAACCGAATTGTTAGCCACGACGCCATGACAATGATTCATTACAAACCAGGTTAAGAAAGTGTCGGACAATAAATAAACTTGTCCTTTTAAAACAACAGGGACAGAGAGAAACATTGAACATCCTCCTTTTTTTAACAATGACGTAAGTAGTATTACAAATGGCATCAAGAAGATGCATATGGCAAAATACTTACTAAAGAGTGAGAACGTTAGCTCTGTTACAATATATGTTCTTGAATGATACCAACTATGAAATTTCATACTCTTAGTAATCTTTTAGATTTAACATACATTAGGCAACCAAAAGAGGAACAAACATCAAACTGGAGAACCTAACATTTGCATAAGCACCGTTATTCAGTAGCCACTAAATGAAAAACATGATAAATTAGGAAAGAGAAAAGTGCTGAGATAGATACCCTTCTGTTGAAAGTTCCATCGCCTTGTCCAGTTTGCATTGCATAACTGAAAGGATCAAACCCAAATTGTTCTCCACCAGGAGAGATTGGCACTACTGCGTAGTTGGTGGAGAGTGAGGGAGGCACAAACTCTTCAGCCATGGGGTTCAATTTGGAAAGCATTTCCTCCAAATCCTTCATCTCTCTGTTAAACCCTTCCCCACCATGAACCTCATCACCCACACCTCCATTTCTACTCAAATCAACACCGTTCATTATCTGATGCTGATGTTGAAAATTATGGTGACCCATCACTCCATTGCCTTTGATGCTTTGCTTCTGCTGTTGAAAAACACCCATTTGCGCCTTATGCTGCACACTCGTTTTCTGGGGTTGCTGCTGTTGTAGATGATTAACAGACATCATCATCTGAATATTCTGATCATTAGGTATCGTTGACCGTGTCTCACCGTTCTGATTCGACTGATGATCAACGGCACCGGAATCATGCTTTACAACACTATCATCCGTCCGATTCAACGAACCATTCTCATCCACGGCCATGACTGTTCCTTCAGTAACAACTATGTCTCACAGTACCCAAGACTGCTCCTTTTTCTCCTTCTTCTTTAACCCTTTTTCCCAATTTCGGGTTCTGTCAAAAAGCAAACCAAAACAAACAAAAAAAAGATCGGTTCTGTCATTTCCCAATTTATCAATCTGTAGTTTTAATATCACAGTTTCCACAATAAACCAAAAAAAAAAAAGGAAACAGATAATTGTACCTGCTGGTCTAAGCGGTGGACTCCATTAATCAAAGAAGAAAATCCAAACTCAAAGATGGTGAGCTGGGAAAATGGAAATAGAACAAAATTTTCTTTATCTTTGTAGTGATGACGCGAGAGAGATGAATTTAGCTCATAGAGAAAACAGACGAGCTTCTTCGGATGGTCCGTTTCGCCACGCCTGTTTTTTTTTTTTTTTTTTGACTTTATTACAGTAGATAAGGACAAACATAATACTTCATCTTTTTTATTTTTAATCTTAATGTTGTAATTCCACAAAAAAAAATTAGATCTTTGTGTTTTAATAATGTTAAAAAAATTACAACTTAGTATAAATTTTAAATGTTGAAATTTTTATGTGAGATATTACATTAATATATTTAATTAAGTTTTTAAGTTTAATCAAATTAAATTTTAAAAAGCGTGATGTAATAATTAAAAAAGAATGTATATTGAAAATATGATGGTACTCATATTAAATAAAAAGAACACATGAATTAAAATAGAAAAAGTATGAACGGACCAACCTCATTCACACTATTCATAAATCATACTTTATTCATCTCAATTTATGTTATTATTGACTTAATATCAAAAAAGGAATACGCTATTAAAATTATTGATCTAAAAAATATATTACATATTTTTGTAACTGCTAATTATCGTTAACATCGAAGGAGAATTTAAATTAATTTAAATTTATGAAATGGTGACGTCTAAGTAATTAGATCCTTTTTCGGGGTTACAAATGATATATTATTTGTCATTATTTTTTAAAGTCGTATTCAATGATAAAATATAAAATACGTATATTTTTTTTTAAAAAAAAAGGATAAAATATGTATGTGTAATTTGCAGGTTTTTCCATACATACATAAACGAGATATAATACATTCGGTATTAATTTATTCTTACGCAACAACGTGAGTTTTCCATTTACATCTAAAAAGCAATTGGAACAAAAAATTCTAAAATATCGATAGCATAAATTTACTACTATAATTTTTTTATGGTAATGTCACAATTGCTAAAATAATTTGACTTAGAGAGAGAATATTTTTCACATAATTTCCCTTTAACTTTAGAGATTGAGATATATATAGCTTTTTCTGGAATAAGTTTTCCATTTAACTAATTGCACAGTTTAGGAAAATTTACTATCCTAAAAATAGTTTTCTGAAAACATATTGCCTACTAGTTTTAGATTTTGGCATTTCCATATAAATGTTTGTGTATTTGCATATTTAAATAGGCTATACTATGCATTATCTCTGTAGTTGACATACATCTATTTTCGATATTGGGGACGATCGATGATACTCTTAGACTATTCCGCGATGAGCTGCTTGGACTAGTTCGCAACACATTGGAGTCCCTTTCGGACAGTATTTGATTATTTTCACATTGTTTTAGATTTATTAATATTGATTTTCGCAATGAATGGGTTCTAGGCGATTAAAATGCAGCAGACTAGAATTTATGATTTCTGCATATATGGGGCGCATTTTCTTTCCAAAAGAATAAAGTATCAGACGTTAACTAAAGGACAAAAGGAATTTATGTCTTTCTTTTCTTTTTTACGAATCAATTATTTATGGTAATGTGTTTAAACTTTTTGGTATATCGACCGGTAAAAGGTTTGTATTCCTTTCCGCATCATACTTCTCTTAGGCCAAACTATCTGGACCTTGACATCTTCATAATCAAGGAACTACTTGAAGGGTCGAGTTAGGCCAACAAAGAAGTTACTAATCATCTTGTTATGTGGAACGACGTACTAAACATTAGACAAGGAGGAGGAGATGAACAGTGTAAACTCAGACACTCAAAACGCCATTTTTTAATGTACAGCAAAACACAAACCAATGTGATAGCCGAATATTAAGGAACTCATTGGATCAATGTAACAGTTAGAACATCAGTCAGTAATGGCATTGCCTAGAAGAGCATAAATATACCAAACTTAAACTACATCAACATAACAACTCATAAACCAGCCAACAGTGCAAGCTTAAGAACAAGTATATCCTGTGGCTTGAGTAATGCAAATAAACTAAAAGACAAATGCCACGAGGTACTCGATGGTATCTGTATCTACGTATATATTTAGATTTAAGATCAGATGACGAATGCAAAGTGATATATCACTGCACAGGAGAGCGAGAAGGAGCACGTGGTCGAACAGGAGTCTTTGATGGGCTCACCCTGCAGTATGGAAATAAATAGTTAAAGATTAAAGGAAATGTCCGTAAAATAGAAGAAGCATCAATATGAAGTCTACTGGAATCAGAGAGAAACCTTATAGGAAGAGATCCCAGGATTGCACCACTGCAGTTCAGTGCAGCAATGGCACTCTCAGCCTGCAACAATCAGAAAATTCATCATCAAACTATACTAAACAAGCAATAGCTTTTCAATGCCACGTGCTAAATTTCCTTTGAGGGAAAGGGTAAACAAACAAAATAAGCAGTACAATGGAGGAATTTAAATTTTTCTACTTCAAATTTCATCAAATATATGACATTACATCATGAATCACTAACGATCCAATGGCATCATAACATGGAAGACTAGCGCAAACTAATCTCGAGTAAGAAGCAAAGTGAGATAAATCCACCACCTATGTTACATAAAAGCAAAGCAACAGAGCCTAGAAATAAGTCTTCCAAAGACGACAAAGAATAGCTCAAGACAAAGATAACATCTACAAAGTTTGTCATTGTCACAGCTAAAATTGTCCACTTTAAAACAAATTGCACTTACAGCTAATCCAAGGAGGCGGCGAACAGAAGTGTGTCATTCTTCTATCCAAAAACAGAAAGTGTGACACTAAAGAATTCTCCTGTTTGACTTAAAGCACCTCAAAATATAAATTCCGGAGGTATTAAGCAACAGAAAACAGCTTTGCAATGCATCAAGGAGAACTAGATGCAGATTGCAACCGCAACCTAGAGATAGTGTTGTGAGGAAGTTCAATTCTAGAACCTCCACACCAAAGAGACAAATAGAAGCTTTATCTGGTTCCCTATATCCATTCTCAATGAATACAGTGGATGAGGAGATAGCATGCAGGTCAAGAGCAACTTTGGAACAGAAAAATAACTATTATCTTGATGCATGTATGTTAGAAATACTTTGTCATGGGAACCAGAAATCACGATATTTCAGGTACTAAAGTAGTGGTACTTTCTCCTGTGTGAAGATTGTTTGGACGGTAAAGCTGATCTATTTAAAACAATAGTAGTATCTCACAGAGTAGTACCAAGTCAAGAGCACTTCTTTTCCAGTTCCATTTAAATGATCAAGAAGCACAGAATCCACATAATAAAGCTGTAAGGGCTCCCTTCAAAGCAACTCAAAAGTTGGTCACTGAGAAATGCAGAACAGACCGAGCTGGGCAGCCGTAAAAACACCGAGATTGCTATTTTATACCCCATATTACCGTGAATTGCTGATAATCTACTGGAAGAAATTCATTAGCTGTCAAAATACAACACGTGCCTGTTGAAGTAAGCAAAACGACAACACAGGCAACTTTTGTTTTCCTGCTGTCTAGGAACCATTTCATATATGATAAATTTTTCTTGGTGTCGTCGGGTTTCTTCCATAAGGTAAATCATTTTTTTTTATTTTTAAATGAATATCCAGTTAATCCAAATCTAGTTATTCTGAGACCTTCATATGTATCCTAGATAACTAAAACACTGAGACAAAAATAGCCCATATTCATCCTTGTTAAGGAATTGAGGGTCCTTTGGTCACACATTAGTTATGCAAGAATTATAATACAAGAATTGTTATATGGTGGATAATAATACAAAGATTGTATCTCGTCAATAACTTATTGAATAATTATTATCCACTTAATTAATGAAAAAAATTACTACTGTATGGTAAGTGATTATACATACGACTTATTTACTTAAGGCATTTTATAGATATTCTTATACAGATGTTGCTAATAAATGCATTTTTGTTCCACATGTTGAGAATATAATTAAGTAAAAGTGTTCTCTCTAATGGCTAAGCTTTAAGATAAGACGGTCACACTTCAACATGGTATCAAAGCAGATAGAGGCAGAGGCAGAGGTAGAGGTAGAGGGATCAAATCTCACTACCACCTGTTATCAACAAAGAATTTCCACATGCTTGGCCGTGAAAAATGGAATCACGCTCACACGTGAAGGGGCGTTTTGTGAATATATTTGAGTAAATAAAAGTGTACTCTCTCTCTCTCTAAAACTTAAGCTTTAAGATGAGAGAGTCACAGACTTCAACACCACATTAAATCCCACATAAAATAATAATAGATTCCTATAGAAGTTATGTCAGTAGTAATAATGCCGAATTTAATACCTAAAATCAATCAAACATTCAATCAATTATGATTTAACACTAGAAACCAAAATTGAATTAGTTATGCAAAGATTACGTTCGTCATACAGAGTTCTATTTATTGTATACTTTATATGTACTAGTTCTGTGAATTTTTGTATTGGAGCTGTTTATTATGAAACTGATCAAAGGACCCCTTCTCCTTCCAGCAACTCAAACTACACAACTATATACCTCAAAGATTTACCGAACAGTCAGTGAGTACCATATCCAATATTTGTCATCCACTCTACTACTCTTAACAACGAAGCATCCAATAAAAAATGTGCTTAGCTATTGAGAAATAAACACAAGCACATAATCCATAGCTTCCCCGCACCCCACTTTTGGGATTACGTTGGGTATGTTGTTGTAAAATTGTACAACAACATACAATGTTGTTGTTACATTGTATCCACAGTTTGACTGCACTGCAGATGAGGGACCTTTCCCATACCACAATATTCCAATTATAGTAAAGATCATAGGTAAAACCAGGATTTGAGCTAGAGGTGACACCTATGTCTTTCAGAAAAAAATTGATACTTTTGGTGGTGGGTTGCAGTCCTGGGACTGGTAATATGAGATAGAGCGAGAGAAACTGGGTTTTGAATTGGAGAAAGAGTTTCTTAGTTTCTTATCTCTATCATGGACAGAGAAGTGAGTTGGGACTTTTAAGGTAGGAATTAACTCAAAAGAAAAAAAGAAAGTGGATTCTGATTCTTTTTAAATCTGGAGCAATGCAAAGGACTACAAGGGGGTAAAATATACTTAGCTAGCAAAAGCGTAGCAGTGGAATGTGTACAGTCCGCTCAACAAATATAGAT